ATCATGACAGTCTTAAAATATGAAGAATAAGGACCGCTCATCATTTACTTTAATGTCTTGCCTATTAATGGTCACAAAGGCAACTGAGCGCAAGATGACCGATTTAATTGGTCTTGACTTTAGAACATCCAGAGGGTTAGAAGTAGTGATCTTTCTGTTTTAGGACACTGTTAAAATGATCAGCTGACCCCTCCATGCACACTCTAAATTTAGGTACTCTGGGTAATTTAGGTACTATGAAAGGACACACATGTGGGCAGAGCATGGATAGCTCAATTAAAACACTTCTATTGGAAGTAGGTTGGGCTCTGGGACATCTTACAACAAACCACACGGTACCATGGATTAATGACTCAAGGCTGACACACCACAAATTCAGGACAAGGACAATTAATGTATTCAACTATGATAATCACAATATGCCCCCATGGGTAGGAAGAGTTTTGCCACGCCAGCAGCGCTTTCCTTGTTCTATAAAGGTAATTTGCAAGTAATAAGCCCTGAACAAAAGCATGGCCTCAAATGAACTCAAACATGTCCCAAATAAACTGCATTCAAACTGCATTCATCTCTAAAGCATAAACAATACTTGATGAAGTCATTTTAGAGAACATTACAAAAATGTAGGGGAGAGTGGGGTTCGGTTGGCACAGTTTGCACTCGCTGTCATACATCCCAGGCATACCATACAGCTGTGTGTAAAAGTATACACATCTGGGAAAAATGACTAGCTTTGTTGAAAACAAAGACTATGTTGAAAATAAGTTAACATGTTCTACAGAGAATACTTTAAATCTAATAATATAATAATACTAAATATATGACAAAAATGTTAGTGCATGACTAATATTTATTTATATTTCTCGTAGCTGTCCAGAGAAAAACAAGTATCTCCAAAAAAGTAACTTTACAGGAGAGAACAAAAACACTATTACATTTTAATGTAAGTTAAGGTAAAGAGATTTTTTTCCCCAAGTGAGCATTTCTAGTGGTCCATTCATCGTGAAATTCTCACATGACGTGAAGGACAGTTGATGTGTTGAAATGATATATAAAATGAAAATCTAGAAAAATGGAGATACATGGTTTTCTTTGGACAGCAACTATATATATATATATATATATATATATATATATATATATATATATATATACACACATATATATGTGTGTGTGTGTATTAAAATATGCAGAAGTGTGTTCTCTGTAGAGGATGTGTAATTAATCAACAAAATACATACTGTGTCTGATCCACTCACGTCAGTGTTACTGCAGTGCTGAGAATGATCCACCAGCCAAATAGTACCTGCTCTGTGAGGGTCCATGGGGGTCCTGACCACTGAAGAACAGGGTAAAAGGGGCTAACAAAGTATACAGAGAAACAGATGGACTACAGTCTGTAACTGTAGAACTACAAAGTGCACCTATATAGTAAGTGGAGCTGATAAAATGGACAATGAGCGCAGAAACAAGGAGTCATAATATTATGCCTGACCAGTTTTTCACAGAAAATGAGCAAAAGCCAAGGAATCTGGGGTTGAAATAATAATAAATCACATTTCTTCTTTTGGTAAACATCAGGTCCCACAAAAAATGGGTCCCACAGACCCCAACACCACACAAGGGGTAATACATTAAAACTGCAAGCTATTATCTTCACAACAAGGTCATTTGCACCTTAACCATTTGTTTATATAAAAGAACAATGTAGTGTTTTTTTAAAAAATGATGGATGTTCTTAAACTATTGGTGGCACCCAAATTAAAAAACTGTCACTACCATGAACTAATAATAGTAAATACAAACTCTAAAAGGGAAGAATGGAACAGCACAAACTTCATTTCCATCAAATAAATAGATGGTGGATCATGTAAACACTGTGGGCTGGACTCTCTTCAAAACTGTCAATCTTAAACCTAATTCATGGTCCTGGACCTGTAGATGTTTTGAAGTTCTGAAAAAGAAACTTGGGCCACAAAATGAAGCAATGCGCTATGTAAAAAAAAAACTGTACATCACTGAGGAGATGAGGATGAATCTGTAGATGCTGTTGACGTTGTGCTTGTCATGTATTTTTGCTTTTGGAAGGCAAGTGGTATATAAATACATAAAGCCTTGACTGAGCTGTTTTCAGGTTGACAAAGTGCACAACACTTCTGTAGACACGACACATGTTTAACATTCTTGGCACGTACAGGAATAGAGCCTTTAAAAAGTTAAGGAATTGAAGAATCTTTGTTCACACGCACCGTGAATCCTTTCATATCACACTTCCACGCTCTTATAAAGGAGCTGTACCTGTGTAGAAAACGGTGAGTTTTTCCTGCCATCCAAAAATGCTACAGTGTTATATAAAGATTATTTTTAGTAATTGTGATTTCTCTGGAACAAAATTCCACAATAAACTGTACTTGATTTTCACTGTGTTGTCATTATGAAGACCTACAAAAAATATCATCACTTCTTAAATTTCTGTAGATCATGGGTGTCCAAGAGATCGACTGCCCTGCTCAGTTCAGTTCTGGGCATATATAGCAATTTTACAAAACATGCACCAATACCGTTGTTTAATATTTGCAGCACTTCTGATCTCACCAACATTTTCTTTCTGGCAATAAAGAGGAACAAAGGAAATTGGTGGTAATGATTAAGAGGCAGGATGATTCATTTTTGCACACTTAAAACAGTAAAACAACACTTCCTATTAATTTACAACCTATGATTAACAGTAGCACTTGTAATTGTTAAAATGATCCTCTCCTCTTTGTAGCCATCTGCTAGCCTGTTTAGCATTCACTACAAACTGTTTTATGGTGAAGCACTTTTGAAGGCTACCTTCATAATGACTTCATAATGCACTGAATGGTTATGTAAAAAGCAGCACGTAAGCATTTATGAACAGTTTATGTCAGTATTCGCAAGACGATATAAGATGTTTTATTATGTAAATGACGTTGCCTTGACATAAGGGCCCTTAACCCTTAATCCCTTAATTTGGAGGACCTTCAGTTACACTATAATTTAAGTTTTCTTAATACAGTGCTATGTTAGCTGCTAAAGGTTATGTTTAAAGACTATGGCATCACCCCAATATGTATATATATATATATATATATATATATATATATATATATATATATATCGCTGTTGTCAGAAGAAAACCTTGTATCTCCATAATGGTAACTTTACAGGAGAAGGAAAAAACATACTTTACTTTTAATGTAAGTCAATGGAACCAGACTTTTTTCCAAGTCATTTTGGGTCAATTTCTTTTAGTCCATTCATCATGAAATTTACATACAATGTAAAGGGTAACAGGTATTTTCAAATCATGTCAATAACTGAAAAACGTCAAAAATGGAGATATGAGGTTCTATATATATATATATATATATATATATATATATATATAGCACTATTTGGCAATACTTGTTGTGATATAATTTATCATATTGTCATATATAAGCCCTATGGCTTATTATTATTATTATTATTATCATTATTATCAGTATTGTATATTATATAAATCTTATTTTGTTCATTTTCCTTGTTGATGGAATATATTTTGATGAAAATGTATGATTTACAAAACTCAAATATCCGAGTCAAAATATACCAAGCTGATTTCATTCCGCTGGTGGAATGGCCACTAGGGGGCCTGCAGAAAAAGATTACACAAAACTGATGGATATTTGTTCCATTCCTAATTCATAAAGCATCATTCCCAAAAGATATAACTTATATGGCAGGAAACTAGTTAAGATTTTGATGTCCTCATGATAATTTACACACATATTTTCTGTATAATACACAACTAATACAGTATATGGTGTTCTTCACTGGACCTTTGCCTTTTAAGTTCTTCATAACAGTATTAAATGGAATGGAGTAAATGTCTGTCACTGAAGTCAATACAATGTCATTAACCTCATAAAACATTACTATTACAGACATGAGCTGTTCATAAATACTCAAGTTCTGCTTTTTAAATTGCTCAACAATATTCATGTGTTACGTAGCCTTCAAATAAAGAGTTATTAATAAAGTCTACTTTTAAGACTGACTGATCAGTTCTAGAAAGAAAAACAGACGCAGTCCCTGAGGCAACGATCAAAACTATGGTTTTGGAGATGAGTGAGGTGATCAGATCTAGCGAGCCAGCAGAATAGCATGTGATGTTTGAAGGGCAAAGACCTTTTTGCAACAAAATTGCTGTAAATTGACTAGCTGCTCAACATTGCCATCAACCTTCCACCACAAGTGCAGGCTCAGCCCTAAAACTTTCCCTGAATCTGGAGTGGAAAAGGAGGCCTTGAGGTAAATATTGAGGTGACAGCTAGCACTAGCCTGTTATCATGCTAATAACTAGTCTTGTGTAGCACGGTGTGTCTTCCACACACCGCTAGTGACAGTTGCTGGGTTTTAAGCACCCTGAAAAGCTGCTTGAGGTCTATGAAGTACCCGAGACAGACTCAATATCTTCATCCTCCTCTTTGTTGAGAGTCAGTTAGCCAGAGAATTGGATTTCACGAACATTATAACTGCCTCAAGGAAAAAAGGAGATCTAGCGCTGGGCCCTAGGCAACATTATCACACTTAAGATGTCATCAGCACTTTACAGGCACAGGTTTGTTTCTGCACAAGTTGGAGGTGTTAGGAATTTTTGAAAAGGCTTTGTTTTTTCAAAGCCTCAAGGCCCAAAACGCAACCCATGGCTACAAGTCTTAAATAAGGGAATTAGATTGATCAGTTGTAAAATAATGTATGGTTCCCATGTAGCCTCATTTAAATGTTGAGCACAGATTGTTAGTCATTCTTTCAAAAGCAGAAATAGTCATTAAAAAGGGCAGCAAGTGCACACAGCTCACCGACCTTGGTGGGCTGTTGTTTATCACTGCCGCACACCATTAACGTTCTTCGATCTTGTAAGAGTTCCTCGTTGCTCCTGCTGGAGATGAAGTCACTGAGCTAAAAGTTTAGTTTTAACCTCAGATTGACCCTCAGCCGTTGTAGTGAGCCACCAGGGATACCATTGGCGGTTTCGCAGCGTCTGTTGACGGGGGCACCGCTGTCGTGTGGCCGACTGAAGCTGCCATGCAGGTAAAGTTGTTGTCATTGCGTCTCGTGGCTCGAGTGGGTTTGTGTGCTTTGGATGAGCTCTTCAAGCTGGAGCCTCGCTGTGGCGTCTCGCATTTCAGGAGCGCTCGGAAACATCTGTAGAACTGACAGAAACACATGCAGTGGTGAAATACATCAAGGAATTAATGTCAACTGAATGTGCATGCATGTTTGTTTTGTAGAGACTTATATGTACACTCTTTAAGAAGATCCTTAACCCTTAGAACCCTTGGATTTTTAGGGGATGTTTTGGTATTTTGGGTCAATTACACTTACAATTTCACCTATAAAGTATTTCTATGAGACAGTCACACATGCCATACATTGTTATTTTCAGGAGACCCTGGGCTACTCAGATGTGGCATTTTTTGACATTTAAATGCTAACAGAATTTTGATATCTTAATGAATTTGGCTAATTTTTTATCAAAAAATGTACCTAGCACCTGCAAAATTTTGTAAACTAGCATTTGAGGTCATATTTCTATGTTGTATTGAAGTTTTTGTGGTTATTCTGTGTATTTAGATGTAAATTTCTGATTAGCAGCACCAAACCCAGAGTCTGAGTCAATTAGAAGACAGTTTAGAGTCAGATTAGAGATACGAGGAGAGGTTCCAGACTGAACATTGCTGTTGCTGTGACATTTAAGGGTTCTTTAGTAAAGACAGTGGCTCTATTTAGGTCTTGTTGGTGTTATGTGGTGCCATTGCAAAAAGGTTCTGTTTAGAACTATATACAACACATTCTTCAAAAATCTGGAGTCATTTCACCATGCAAAAACTTTAAGCATGCAAATGGTTCTTTGAGTGTTCATGGTTCTATGTAGAACCACTGTCTTTACTAAAGAACCCCTGAAGAACCATCTTTTTATAAGTATATATAAACCTATATGGGACATATCATTGTAAAATACATACAAAACAGCTATTAAATTGTTTATTTTCAGGAGATATTTCTAATAACATTAGACAAACAATAATCAATTAGCATAAGGAAGGAGAAAGTCAAAGGACAATAAGTGAAGTTTCCAAAACTGGAGTTCAAAAAATTATTAAAAGCTACAGAAAAAATGGGCCTCCTAACAACCACCTGGAAGACCTGGTAGACACCAAAACTGCCCCCATCAGATAAACAGCACTTAAAGCTTTCATCTTTGAGAGAGAGGAGAAAATCAAGCTGCTTCTGATCTGAAAACATCCACAGGTGCTTCTGTCCATCCTTCCACTGTGAGAAGACGACTCAGCGCTGTGGGTCTGAAAGGATGTGTAGCTGTTAAGAAGAACCTCACTGAGAAAAGGAAACAGCTCTTTGTGGTCATTAAGCTCACTTAAACCTCACTGTCCAGCCTTTGTTTTCATTTTCAACATGTGTATAATCCCTTTTGCCAATGATTATAGTTTCTTCTGTCAGTCATAAACACTTCAGTTCACTGTTATTCTCCTGCTTGAGTATATAATAAATATGGAGCTGGTGGGCTGTGGAGCAACCTCCCGGAGCAAAGAGGCTCAGAAACATATATAAATCATCATATTTCACAACACTAACAAAGATGCCATATTAAAAACTGAGGCAGCAGCTCAGACCATCCATTTTATATACATTTACGTGACAGTATATAGTTTCACAGGGGGAAGGTACATCACTCATGCTTAAAGAACAGTGCAGCAGTGATGCATTGGTCACATTTGAGACTTTTAACTGACTTGTTAAAAGTCAGTGACCATATACCTTAATTTTGTTTATATATTGTCGGTATAAAACTTCATATCTCAATTTTTGTTGTTTTTTAGTTTTTGGCATAGTATGAAAAGGCCTGTTGTCCTTTACGTTGTGGGTAAATTTCATGATGAATGGACCAAAAGAAATGGTCCAAAATGACTTGGAAAAAAGTCTGGTTCCATTGACTTACATTAAAAGTAAAGTAAGTTTTTTCCTTCTCCTGTAAAGTTGCCTTTTGGGGATATGAGGTTTTGTTCCAACAACAGCAGAACGCAACCAACTTCTAAGACTGAACTTTGTCTGCAGATTTCTTTGAAAAACTGAAAGTGAGTCTCCTGAAAAGAATGGAAGCTGTAATAAGGGTAAACGGTAAACAGTAAACAGTGGACACAGTGAACACTGAAAAATCTGATAATGTATTTAGTTGTTGGAGCTTCTGTGTTTTCTGTGTTTTCTGCTTTTTCCTGATGCTGAAAACCAAATAACATGTGCTTAATTGTTTTGGAAATCAATAAATGAAGGCTGCTCTCTGACTTTTGGAGTGTTGATACTCACATATGAGCTAATTTCCTATAAAGGTATAAAACATACCTGTATGTGTTATGCTCCTACAGGCAGCTGAATGGCCTCATATATCTTTCTGTTCCCATCTTTGCCTTTCGGTTGTATGATCAGTAATTTTTAAGTAATTTCAAACAGTTACAGAGAGTTGATTGTGTTTCATTTAATAAACAACTGCTTGCATGCAACAAAAACTGGATTACAAATTTTACATAAAGCTCTTTCTGTATGCAGTAAACTACTGTCCGCTTCTGAGTCCATTACAGTGTACATCTGTCAACAAAACACTGCATGCAACTCATTCACACATTCAGCAGCTCTGAATGAAAACAGGAGCCCATTTCCATCATCCATGCTCCTCAGAAGATGATTATAACAATTCAGAATGGCATAATTAATGCTGTCCTTCTTATCATTACAGCCCCGTTTTCCATTCAGGTTGTTATCCTAAAGGCATTTGTCTTTTTTGGCCTTTCGTAAGAGGACAATACAAGTGGCACCTTGTCATCACTACCATTTTTGAGATGACATTATATGCTCAATTAATTGCATTTTCAGCCCCAATAGGACAATTATACAATTTGCAATTGAATAATTGCTGTGATAGTGTAGTGGCGAAGAATAATCCTGATGTCTGTAATTAACATGGAAGACAGAAGTAATTTTGTGTTCCTCCATTCAGTGCAGATAAAATTCACTTAATAGTCTCTCGGGAGGGGTCTCGCCCAGCGCCGCATTAAAATTACGCTGTGATTATCAAACTGAACAAATATGCTGAGGTCAAAGAAGCAGGCCTGGACTTGGTGATAGTCCAGCAGCGAACTGTGCAATTATGCAATAATCACTAGCTCTGATTTTACGCCCTGCAAACAATAAATGTGCACAGCCACAGAAAGACTGCACTCATGCAGAATGTTTGCAAAGGCCTTTTGAGCTGACAACACGATATCAGGGCCAATTATTACTTTTCTCCTACATTTACATATGTAATTTCAAAATGAATAAACAATTCTCAGGTTTTGTGAAAGGAGTAGGGAAAATATAAAGTATGTTGGATATAAACAAATTGTTTTTTTTATATGCAGTGCAATAAATAATGAGACATCATGTTATCCCACATTTAGTCAGTGGACAAATTTCATCCATACTTTTGTCCTTTTTTATAGATAACAGTGAGTGTGTTTACATGTACTCAACAGTCTGATCATAATGGGATTTCTGCAACTGATTATTCAAATGGTCATGTAAACAGCATACTCTGATTTCTTAGATTGGAGTAAGGTCTAGAAATCCAATACAGAGAGCTGGATTTTAGCTCAGTAATCAGATTTCTCAGTGCATGTAAACTCTTACTCTGATTTCTTTCGGATTTGTACGTCATGTGGGAAAACAGATGCTGGTACCGGAAATAAGCAAGCAGCGTTGCCGCGAGAGGCAACAAAACACTTTTGGAACGACACTGAAACCAAATGCTTGACGAAATGAAGGATTTAAATATTCTTCATCTTCTAGATGATGCATGTTCACATTTTCAAGTAAAGTGGTGCAATATTAAAATAAAGCTGTGGCATTTACATTATGTTTACGTCACGTCTTCTTCTCTGAGTTTACTGGCCGGTTGCAAAGCAGAAATCGCGTTGATCAGATCACTGACAAAATCTGATTTTCTGCAGTTATCTGATTATTAAGTGAATGTAAACGCACTCAGTGTGTCATACAGTGTCAGTAATGACATAAGCAAGTCTATAAGAGATTACTTAACAATTCAACATGGTTTGCATGTGATGACATGCATGCATGTGCGAAGCTAATTGGTGAGGTATAAGCTTCCATAAAGTGTTACCTTTGTGTAACCTGCAAAACTAAATCAGCAAACTTCAGACACCAAACAAGCCACAAATAAGCACAGATAACATAATGTACAAAGAGTGTAATCCACACTAACTTTGTCCTCTTTAGCTGAATGGATGAGTCAGGGATGTTTCAGTTACATTTCAAAATGCAGCAGATGCTCAATCACCTCCCGTTGTCTAGTCCATTTCATCAGAAGTTGTCCACTTTGTTTGCAAGGCCAGACAAAAAGAAATGGCCGACCAGCCTTTTGGGGTTAGCCTTAGCCTAACATGGACACCAGAGTGACTGTCGCCACCTGACTCGATCAGGATTATCAGACAACACTGTGGTTAGGGTCATGTGCACAAAGCCGTGGACCAGCTGGTACTGAAGTGTAAATGATTTTAATATTTCCCAAATTCCAGCAGTGTCTGACTGTGATAGGAAGTAAAATTGACACGGGTTTATCTGTATATTGCTTAGTTTTGTTTTCACTATTTGCTCAAATGAAAATATTTCCAGTTTACATTGGTTGTTAAAATGTTTCTTATTAAAAAATGAAAGAACATCACCAAATTAATAAGCCACTGGCAAGCTATGAAAAAGTTGACTTAAGCATCTAAAATGGGCTAAATATATACATATATATCGCTGTTGTCTGGACAAAATGATCTCCAAAATGGTAACTTTACAGAAAAAGTACTTCACTTACTTACTTCACTTTTAATGCAAGTCAATGGAACTTGTTTTTCAAGTCATTTTGGGCCATTTCTGTTGGTCCATTGTTCATGAAATTTACACACAATGTAAAGAAATTTTCAAATTTTGTCAAAAAAAAGTCAAAAATGGAGATATGAGGTTTTGTTACGACAGCAGTGATATATGTATATACAGGGCACTGCAAGACCAGGGAACTGCAAGACCCCTTCATAATGGAACCAATGGACTACTGGTGTATTACTGGTCACTCTTTGACATAAATAGTGGAACC